ACCACGTACATGATCTACTCTTCTTCCAGTTGATTCACCATTAGCTGTTGATCAAGTTATTGGTCCAAATACATAGGGTGTGGGTGTTGTGTGAGTATAATTAAGAATGAAGTGAACATCCCCACCCACATCCACACCCTTAATCCATATTTTGTAGTATTCATTGATTGATTTTTCATCGACATTATTATCAAATTCATCTATGAATAAATAAAAATAGATCAAAGAACATTTCTGAACAAAAATTAAATTATCGTGTGATTTTAACTTGCCGATTAATATTCCATAAGATTCATTAATTTTTCTTCTAGTATAACTAAATGTAGTAGAAAGCTTCTCTTGCAGATTGTCGATAGTAGAGTTTAAAGCAACACTTTGTTGCCTTTCTTTCATAAGTTCATTCTGCAATTCAGAAAAAAACAATCAGTATTTTATTTTTGTTAAAGATAAAATACTGACCTTGACGTAGATAACGATTATATTATTTCTTTTTTGCTGATATTTGATTTATTATGTTTTTATAGCTATATTTCGTTTGATAATTGAATTTTCTATAATATTTATCACAATCAGTTTTTTCTTTTACCAAATGAATAGATTTAAGATATATATGTAAATTATTCATTAATGTTTGAAATAGAGTTTCATCAGCCATTTTCAAGATCTAAAATATGAAATTGTAATCAAGAAATGTACTCTTTAAGTAAAATAAACAAAATCAATATTATCTTTTTTGTGTCATTTAACTTTCTTCTTTTGAGGGTGTCGGTGTGGGTGAGACATGGATATATTACGCACACTCACACTCTTCATTACATACATCATACTCTTAACTAATTTGAAAAATATTTTATCTTATGAAATAATTAGAAGTACACAAAGTTTGATTTTTCAACGAACTTACTAACATATTAAGACATTATTCATTTGTTTTTTTTCTTTGATCGTAAACTTCAAAATACATAACAAGTACCGGCAGAGGTCCCTTCACAAATGTACAAATCATAATCATATCTCTGCTACATATTCAAATAATATTAAATCTTTTTTTCATAAACTATTACCCAGGTCAATGATTCCGAACGCCGTTTCGGTCCGTATCTGGCCGTATGATCTAAATAGGCAGCAACTTTCTGTTACTAGCACCCACTCCTTCTCTACCACACTTCTGTCTGTCATCCTGGTGTAAGTAAATACTTACCATTTAATTTATTGTTATTGATAATCTAGAAATTAAAAAAAAAAAGAATTTAAATAATTACAAAACTATTCACCGTTAAATATATCATTATAGATCATCTATAATGAAGAAATACAATACAAATTAATAAAAATATTAGTGTTCGATTTACCGTTTAGTATATTAATAAACAATATTAACTGTTTATATAGCTCATAAAAATCCTTTTCTCAAGGGAAAACACTTAGCTTTATAAGTTATTGCAGAACAATTTTAATTTTTCATCGATAACCTTATCCATAATGCTATTTGAATAACTCATTGTTTAGATTGTTACCAATTCATTTTTCATTTTATCAATGAGCTTTCATATAGAAAGTAAATAGTAATGAATACATTATCTGACATAGTATATAGACTAATTGATGAAAGCTTTAGGAGAAAAACGGCAAAAAATGGTAATCCCCTATGGCTGCCGTTTTCGATGATGCGGAATACGGCTTGATAACGACGAAAAACGGTGGCCTTTACAGCTGTTGTGTCCGATGGAACGGAACCGATTAAATGAAACGACTACCGTTTTCTATCGTTTTCTACCGTTTGAGGCCGTTTATGATACCGTATTCGTTCACCAGGAACTATCATGAAAATAAAAAACATTATTTACTAATGCTTGTGAACTTATTATATGAAATTTTAATAATCCTATAAAATGATCAATTTATCTTGTCTATAATAAAAGAATTTGTTCAGATAACATTTTTCATCATAAAATCTTCATCTGAATCTATAATATTAGATGCATAGTTGTACGACGTACGGTTGATGGTAATTGATCAAGTATTATCATAGATGATGATGATAGATCATGACGATATAACTTTTTTTTGTCAATTGTATCGATTAATTTTTTTTCAATAAAATCAATTGAAAGTTAAAGATATTTATTTTTTATTAATCAGTAATAGCGAATTTTGGGAAATAGGTAAAATATGGATAATGGACGTTGATTTGAATCGTCTAATCTAGATGATTTATTTCTTTATTTAATTATTATACATTTTAGATGTTTCAGATGAATTTAGAAAAACGATTCAATACTTGCATTACTACCACAATTGATATTTTAAGAAAAAATGGTTTCAAAGAAGTAGTAAGAAAGCGAATAGACTTAAATGCATCAAATTTAGTTTTTTTTGTATATTATTAAGGACGATCAGATACACACACACAGTACAAAATGTACATGCACCAAATTATTTTCAAATTCGATCGTTAATATAATAAAAATAGAAAAAAGAAACACAAGAACAGTTGTTCATGTAATACTAAGGATTTAATATTTTTTGCCAGCATACAATATGAATTTTATTTTTTTAATTTTAGAATAAAATTATGGACAGAAACCAGATCACAACCCAAGTCGATGATTGATGAAGCAGTATTACATGAAGTTCCGGCCATCAACCGCAGGAAACTGACTGCTGTCGGCTGGAATACCGCGGAACCGGCCGTTTCCGTGCCGGATTGCTCGACCTGGATCTTTCAGCCTGTTTGGAACCTAATCACAAACGGTTAATTATAATCATATCTTTTTTCGTATTTTCACTCACCATCATTTTATTTTTTAGATCTTCAAAAGATGAGTAGCAACATTGAATTACAAGCCAAGAATTTTGTAAAATTATTAAATTCAACATCAATAAAATATAATTTCAAAGTAATAAATGAAAAATGGGTAAGAAAATTAATCGATTTTTGTTTATATTATTATATTCCTCTATTTTTAAGGAGAATGAAAAAAAAGGAGTTTATAAAAACAAGTTCAAATTTGATAATATGCTTACGGTTAATTAATTAATTCTTGATCAACGAGAAAATTTAGTATTCATGTACATAATAGTAAATATTTTTTTTTAAGTAGAATATATAATCCTACATGTATGTTATGTCTGAATTTTAGTATAATAATATACGTCCAAAAGAAGCAATAACTAATACAAAACAATGGGAACAAACTCGAACGAATCTTGAGGGTGTGGGTGTGGTTGTGGGTATGGGCGTGACTGAGAGTATCGATAATCTTGCGGACACCCGACAGCTTCACTCAAACCATACCACACATCCACACTTTAACAGCAAATCGTGGACCATCATTAAAAATGAATTATCTGGTTTGCAACCAATTCATATGAATGAACTCTTAAACCAGTTTAATCATGATTTATTGGTCGGTAATGTACACTATACCAAAAATCAGTTTATAGATTGCATTTTAAAAATTTAACATTAATTGTTTGTCTTTTATTTTATTTGATGAATGTTAACTTTTAATAAAAAGTATTTTTTTTGCATATGTGATTATACTACAATTTTTTCTTGTTCAACTGGTAAGACAAAACTTGGGTGTGTGGGTGTGAATATGTGTGTAGATCACAGTAAAACATGAATACCACGCACAACCACACCCTCAACAGACTGGGAAAAAAGTAATCATCTTAAAGTTGAATTAAGCAACGTGATTGATCTATCCCGATTTAAAGTTCAATTGTAATTTATCTGACTTTTGAAGTCTGTTTGGGACCTAAAAGATAAGCATTAATTCTAATCATATCTGTCTTTCGCTTTTGATTCACAGTCATTTCTTCTTTTTACAATTTTAAATTTTAAATCTTCACAATATGAACAACGGCTTGAAAACAGAAACATTAAATAAATTCATTAAGTTTTTAGATAGTTTTCTATTTAAAAATGGTTTTCAACAAACTGCTGGAATATTGGTAAGAAAAACTAATAGATTTTAATGCATCTGATTATATTTTATTTATTTTTAAGAAAAATATAGAAAACGTCATACGAAATGAAATTTCGTATATTCGAATACATACAAGTACAGAAATATCACGAACACAATATGTGTTGATAAAAGAGAGAATAAGGTCTTTCTTGATGTAAAAGTAAGGATCTTATTTTTGACTAGAATAAAATAAGAATTGTTTTGTGAACTGTAGAATAAAGTCATCATAAGAAAAGAAACAACAATCGATCTTAATATTAATGAAAAAAAATGGAATGATACTCTTGCCGGTTTATTTAATTTGATTAAAAAACAAATTAATCATTATAATGAATCAAAGGTATAGGTATGAGTGAACAAGAAGACTATTCACATTCACATCGGTACCCAAAATATGAGTACTTTTTTCTTCATCTCTTCCCTATTCATTATAGCATATTCTTCTTTTTTTGTTTGTTGCTTACTTGTATGTAGAGTCTTGATTAGTTTTTTATTTATTCAAAATAAATAACATGAATTTCGCCGACGAAATCAACTATGCATTTCTTGAATAATTTTAAAAGTACGTCTCGAAAATATGATTAATTTTTTACTTTCAATCATTCGCGGAAAAGCAAAAAACTGAGCAGATCAGAATGAATTTGTCTTTTTTGATTAATTTACATTCGAATCCGGCTTCTGCATCAACAAATTTGAAACAAATAACTCTATACATATTGTGTACAAAATACTAATCAGAATTCATATAACATTTTTATTTCATTTCATTCTTTGCAAACAAAGGCGGTATAAAATATGTAAAGACCTAATGACATTTGAACTAGCAAAAAAGAAATAGATGATGTTGTTTTTGTCTTAGTTGCATAATTATCAAAAAAACATATGTAGACACTTTATACATATTGACGAAATAATCAAGGTTTCTATTATATTTCATTGATATACAAAATACGATTTCTCTTTACAAAATGAAAGATATAAATTACACTCATTTCATTCGATTATTCACATAGAATTGTTAGTATGGTTAAATATCAAATCCCTCAAGTATTCTTTGTTCCAAAACCAACTTTAAATGAATGGGCATCCAAAGTAATTACATTAAAATAATTAGTTGATAACTATTTTCTCTTCAAGGTAACACTGATCAATAATCCTAAACAACAAAATCCGAAAAATATAAAACAATTGCTACCAAATGAACAGAACGATTCGTTATCTATCCTATCGGATTGTCCTGAGAATGTTGAATCACCATCCAAGTGAGTAGAAATATCTCAATATCTTTGTTGCTTATAATTTTCGATTACAAAACTTTCAGTGTGATGAATATCAACAACAATAAAAATAATAACAAGAAATATTTCAAAGTTTTATTGATTTCAGTTGGAGTTTTACTTATTCTTGGTATTCTAGCAAGTGTAGCAATGGGTATTTATGCGCTGGTTTATATAACTAGAACAACGGTAACATCAACAACAATGACTACAACAACGACAAGTAAACATATTTTTATTTCTTTTGAAAATTAGAATATCGATTTAAATACTTTGTTTATATTTCAAAAACAAGAGTACTATAAATTATAAAATATAACTGTTGAATGATATGACTAATTGTAATCCGATCCCGATTATTTGATATGAACTATGATCTGGAAAGAGTCTTGAAATATATATAAATAGAAATTTAGATATATCCCTCATCCACACACAGTGATAGAAATAGCTACAAAGCTAAGGTCAAACGAGTTTTAGATACTTATTTTCGGTTCCCTTTGAACCTTACTATAATGTATTGTGATTACACTCTTTCGTTAGGGACGTACATTAGCAGTACTGTAGAATTGACAAATCGAATCATATGATATAGAATTCTTAATTTACTATATACGAAAGTTCCTCATGTTTCACATTCTAATTCTGTAGGAATTGTACTAACAGATTTTGTCTTCAATTTGAAAGAGAAAACTAGTTATTTCATTTACTTTAAATATAAAACTTCATATTTAGCTACTACGACAACAACGTCCACAGCAGCACAATGTTATTTGTATACAACCATGAATGATGTAACACGTCTGGCAACAGCCGGAAGTGGATCTACAACCGATTCTGGTTTGTTTTCAACCAGCAATTGGATTCGTTTCTCTGGTGCAGGTGGCACTCAAATAACAACATCATCACCGGGTCTATATCATTGTACTACATATTATTCTGGTTGGTACTCGAGCTCACTACCTTCGTCTGGTGAAACGGTTAATGGCACAGTATGTTATACATATAGTTCATCTTCATGTTATTATGCCAGTATAATATCGGTAACAAATTGTGGTTCCTTTTATGTCTATAATCTTGTTAATCCACCCATTTCCCTTATGCGTTATTGTACTGTTTAAGTAAAATAAACAGAATCATTATTATCTTTTTTGTGTCATTTGATTTTCTTCTTTCGAGGGTGTTGGTGTGGACAAGAGATGGATATGTTGTACACGGTATTCTTCACTAATTTGAAAAATATTTTATCTGATGTAATAACTAGAAGTCAATAAAGTTTGATTTTTGAAAGAACTTATTATTATATTAAGACTTTATTCATTTGTTTTCTTTTATCATAAAAATCAAGATACATAACAATTACTGACATACACACACGAAATATATGTTGGTAGATTTTTTCTTCTCCTAAAATCACACTCACACCCTCAAATTTAAGAGAATGCGATTCTTTTGCATATTTATTTTTTCACATTTTTTCTTGAATTAACAGGTATTGGTTTGATTCAAACGTTGATCTAGGCAACACGAGTGATCTGCTACATCATGTATTAAAAGCTTAAGTTTCCTGTCTTCATGATTACTGTTACCTCAGAAAATACAAAATACCGAAATCTTTCAAACTTCATCGCATCGCAATATATTTATTTGAGAATAGTTAGAGACTTTACAATAGGAAAATATCTAACTTAGAACGACTAGATTCAAAATAATGTTTCTGGGGTAACAGTAAACTGTAAAGAATAAAATCGTTTTTTAGCAATCGATAAAGCTTTGAATTCTCTATCGAATCACAAATTCTGTTATTATGTTTGGAGAATTTTCTTTGTCGGGAACTGCGAGATACCGAACAGCTCAGAAACCTATTTTGCCACGAAAAAATCGTTTTAACTGTAACAAATCTATAAAGATGAAGAGAACTTGCGCTTTTAATACATCGTGTAGTAGGTCTGTCATACTAATTAGATCAATGTTTAAATCAAACCAATACCTGCTAATATAAGAAAAAATCGCAGTCACTGAAACTTTTTTCGTAGACTGAACTATACCTAGTATTAAATTATTATTAAAATTATAATAACAGGTATATCAACTATAACTGCACATAATTTATATAGTAATATCAGTGCAGAAAACATTGATAATCTTATTAACACATTTTTTCACTCTTTACTCTATTAAAATTTGATCATTGGTATTTGATATATCAAGTAAGTTCTAAACGTAGTTATTCAAATTTTCGACCTGATTTTTTGTCTATTGTACTTAATCTTGTTATAGCAGCTTTAGGTAAGATGAATATTTTAGATAAATTAATAATTATAATAATATTTAGTAGATAGTTTTGACAAACATGAACAATTGATTAGATTAGAACAAAAAAATAATTAAACTCACACTAATTAATCAAAAATTCCTGAAGTGATGTTGAAGAAATGATCAAGTTTGAAATGTATAATCCGAAATCTACTATCTTACTGACTTTTCTTTCTTGCAACATAAGATTACGCTACGTGAATTGTTATACTGAGATGCATATAAATCATTTAGTAAAGTGAAGTTGTTCACAGCATCAACTTTTACGAAACTTATATATAAAGTATTATACTTTACATCTTCAGAAGCAAATGGAAACATTTTTGAAATAGAATTTTAGAGATCAAAAGTCGATATATGCCTTATCGACATGTAAGAAATGATATCTAAAAAATAGAATTTCTATCAAATATAATCGTTTTTAGTTGTTCTATGTAGACTGGTAAGTAGTTGTCTTTAATCGAATAAACTAAGACAAAAAAAAAGAAACATGTCACCTACGAAATCATTTCATCAGTTACTTTTACGAATCTTTCTTTATTATGCAGTCATCAAAATAAATATGATTTTCCACGGTTGAGAACAATCTGTAAACTCCGCTTTTTGGTATTTTCATATAGACAAATCTACTATTAATTATATTAAAATATTCGTTAAGTGTAGAATCAGATTGTATAAATCATATTCGCTTAAGGCAGTACCAAACGAATATATTTTCTGATCAATTTGTTAGAAACGTTTTTTAATAAATTCTTTCGTTTCAAAACATTGTGATCAACGAATATTTTCGAAGATGATATAAAGGAGTCTTCTCATGTAACAGGCAATGCTGGAGAACGAACAGACACGAACTACTCAGTGGTATATAGATTACAAACGAATTTTTGGTTTTTGTGTTTGAGAACTCAAGAATTGCTGCATTTCTTCATTGTGTTGAAATCAAGAGTATAGCATACGATTAATAAATACCATATTTTTGTCGATTTATATAGCTATTCTGAACTTCACCAACTATTCCTACTATTTTTATTTTCGAACTTCACTATAAAACTACACGATTTTATAATGCATATCGCTACCGGTTAAAAGCCATTACATGCAGAAACTATAAATACAGATTAACGAGTTGAAATTCTTTCTCAAAGCTACAATCATCAAATTAAACTCAAACGTAGCTATTATATATTAATTTTCGCACGATGTACTTTTCCAATTGGCAAGGAATCCCGATTACTACAACAAAGTGCTATTAAAAAACTACTCTTTTATCTCTTCCTTACAAATTTTCACTTGTTTAGATATTAACAAAACGCTCTGTAAAATAATGTGTTTATTTTTGCAATGACACACAATAAATATCATAAGATTCAATCTATCATATGGTTGCACTAGTCTCGAGTCTTCATCTTCTGCAGTCTACCTGCACTGGCAGATATGATCAGCATAAGAACCGAAAGTAGGAATAATATAATAAATGCAACTGGCACTATCACGACGGATCCAACTTGCCTTATTACTGTCACGATACCAATCAGTACATTTACCACATTGTGTACAAGCTCGACCGTCACAAAGAAGTTGCTTTTGAGGAAATATTTCAGTTTCGTGTGGGCTTTCTACATGAAAAGATGTGATATTTATTAAGACTTAAAAAACACAACAAGATGGCTCACTACTTTACTTCGAAACAACATATTTTATTTATAAATTCTTTTATATTTGAGTAACTGTGTTAGTATGAAAGCGAGATCAAACTATACGATTTTAGCTGATAGAAATGAAAAAATCCATCGGAGTCATTTGAGAGATATCATCAGTCGTTTTGCTAGTGAAGGAAAAGAATCTCATACTCCTTTCTGTTTGGACTAACTCAAGTAAAACCTGAAGCAATTAAATGTTCACTTGTGTAATGTTAACTTAACCCTTACCTTAGATCTTCTCTCATTACCTAAAACAATCTCATCCATCTACGACTTTGATCTGTTTCTCTTAGGAGAGCTAATTAACACAATCGACCAATAAGATCAAATGGATAGTGTTTTATAGTTGATATAAAAACAGAATAATTTATAAAATACTTAAATAGGCAAATAGAAAATAAACAACATTGAATTGAGCAGTGAAGTTGGAAAGACCAAAAATATATCAATAGATACAATTCGTCTACTTATTATTCTAATAATAGACATTATCAATTTATATGTGACAAACATTTTGATAGGAATGAAACTAATCGATCTAAACCTTATTCGCTATTTCGATCAGTCATAGATTTAGCGATGTTTAGTATATATACTGCGCAAGTTATTCTTGTTCTCTTCTGCTCAATATGCAAAAAATTATTGAAGAAAAAAAAATTTCAGACATGTGTATATGATTCTTAGTCATTATCTAATTCATATTTTAGATGATCAATTAAAATATATTGGCAAATTCATTATCACCTCATGAACTATGATCTATATTCTCTGCATCTCGAATCAATGTTTTTTGAAAAGTATCATACTAAAAATATATTCAAATTGGACGTCATAAACATACTTTTTCGCTTTTTTGATGTTTGTTGGCGTTCGACTTCTACAGCTTTTTCTTGAACGTAGATAATACGATCCCAGTTTATTTTTTCGCTTTCTTCTTTATTAATTTCAGTTAAAGTTCCTTGGAAAAGCGGAGCCAAGTCCTCATTGAATTGATCAATCTTTTGTTTAAGTCTTGTTAAATCATGTTCAACATAGTCCTCCGTTTCTTTCAAATGAGATAATTCTTTAAAGAAGCCTTTGAATTCATTTGTAATTTCCATAGATTTTGAATTCATTAGCTGATTAGCTTGCTGACGTACATATTCAGCTGTTTGTCGCACTTTTTCAATTGTCATCTTCTCCCATGCATTGATTGCTTCAAAAACTGGATTGTTAGCGTTGTTTTCTTTTGTTGCTTTGTTAATTTTCTCTTGTAGTTTATTATGCTCTTCAACGAGTTCCTCCATCTCAGTAGATAATATTTCACGATGACTTCTGAAATCCTTTGCGCAGAAGTAACCATCACAACCAGTGCAATGCATCTTTCCTATTGGTTTTTTACAAGTGAAACATTGGTTTGATTTTGCCATTTCTATGAGTATACTACAATAAAATGTCATTTATGGACATTGGTCAAAGTAGAGAATCTGCTTACCTTATGTATTATAATTGTGAAAGAGATGTGGCCGATACCGACGTTTTGAAATATATATAAAATAAAAAGATTCTAGATCTAGAATTGTCAACGCAAAGATAAGATATAAGGACTTATTTTTTATCAGTATTAACAATAGAAAAATTGTAAAATAATATCATCAGAAAACATATTTTAATCTAATTTTGGGTGGGTGTGGGTAAAAAAAAGATGAAGCCACACCACACTCACACCGTAATTTTTTTTCTCCACTTTTTATGAGTAAAAGAACGAAAAATGAATTTATATTTCGATCAACCAAGCAACAGTAAAAACCAACATAAAATCATTTGATCGTTCGCAACACTTACTAAAGAACAGAGACATGCATTTCATTTTACTGTTGATAAAAAAATGCAGACGAAAGATTTTTGTAAAATGATGTTGAAATATAATAGATAGAAATAAAAAATATTATATTACAAAAATGTTGTGACTTCGACTTATGGGAAGAGAATCACTCACAAAAAATTTCTAACTAACTTCACAATGATCATTATTTGGCCAATACAAAATAAAACAAAGCTATGTACTTTTAAATCTGATAGTTGGACAAGAGAAATCATCTACATAAAAAGTTTTTATGATAGTAACCATGACGAATAAAAGCGATTGAATAAATTAAAATGTTCGGAAGCAGACTGGTACTATATTTTAAGGATTTTATCCTACATTCGTCAAGCTAAAAGGAAAGTTGATAGTTTCATAATAATTTTTACATCTGGAGCATTTTGTGATGAAATATTTTTGATAATCGATATAGGGTATAGCAAAACATGAAAGTAAAAGCATCCGATACTTGTACAATTATTGAAAGTGTTATTGAGAGACAAAAAGGACAAGTGCACAAACATACCATATAACCAGGAGACAATTGTTTATATTATAAAGTCATTCTTGCTTCAGTCGGTTACTATCGTTCACTATCAGGCTTCTAATTATATCATTTACTAATGAAAATATTACATCATATTGTTAAAATGTATGCTATTATAGTTGATAGATTTAGGAGAAAATGATAAGAACATAGATTAATTGAATTTATTGGTCAATAAGTTCTTAAACTAGATAATATGTAAGATATATCATCAGAGATTTCCTTATCAATTTTCATGAATGAATCTATATTATAATGAAATGATGATTATTATTTGAAATAGAATCGATTAGTTCGTCGATTCAAAACTATGTATTAGGATGTAAATTGAATTCAGATGTACGATTAATCTTTCTAATGTTTTTTTATGTCTAAATAGATATCATCAGTTGATCTAAAATTAGAAAAAAGCATTCAATAAAACTTTTCTTTATATTTTATTTAATTATTTCTATGAAAAAATAATTTGATCAATTTCTTCTAAAACTTTATCATTTCCAACAAGTTCTGTATGACTGATTCGATTAAATCCTTTTGAAATGAATTTATATTTTTTATCCATTGTTTTATTCCATAATTGACATGACATATTTGTTGTATCATCTTGTTCTCCATCACCCCATCCACGAATAGTTTCTAATTTATTATCTTCAAATCGATCTGATTTTGATATATAACCTATTGGTGTTGAAATATTTACTCCATAAAAACAATATGTATTAACATTTGGTTCTGGTAATGATGCTAAAATTGATGATGCTTGAGAATAAATAAGAGAAAGTTCTTTAGCATTTATATCATGTAAAAAATCTAACATATCATATGATGTATAATTTCGTGAAGGTGTTTTTACAATAATTCGTTCTGATCCATATATCATTGGTTCAGGTAGACGCCAAGCAAAAAAATCCCATGATTGAATAACCTCACGTGATACAATGGGTGAAAGAAAACCTTGAACTAAATTTTCAATATTATCAACTTCACCTGCAATATTTCCACTTAGAGATATCCAACTATTAATATATTGATTTTTCCATGTTTGTAATTGTTGAGAAAGAAAATATAAAACCATTGAACCACCTGTACTATGACTAATTAAATAAACACTTTTATTCATATTTCGAATATATGTTGATTCAATTAGTTCTTTTAAGTTATTATTAAATACAAATAATGTTTTATTTGTTCCACGTCGAAAATCATATGGAACTGAATGCATATTTTGACCATCAATATATTTATGTTTTGTAACAAAATGGAAAAGAAATTTATCCAATTGAATATATTCCCAAAGAAGACCATCAAGAAATGATCCATTTATTGAATTTACAATAATACGTGTTTCAACACCAGGTGGATTTTCAAATGAATTTGATGAAGAATTATAAATAAATCTGAATATATTATGATAACAAGGTAAATAACTTGGCTCGAATAAACGAAGATTTAACCAAAGAAGTATCCATTTATTATCTAATGATTGAGGACAACTTGGTTGTAACGTTGTATTTATACGTACTTCAAGCAAGCTGCAAAAACTTCCTGGAATGAAAATAATTGGTGATAAGCAATCATTTGAAACGATTAAAATAAAAGTAATCGTAACAAAAAATAAGAAATAACGAGCCATATTCTACTTCAATTGATAGAAAAAGAAAACAACGTGACAAGGTAAAACACGCACACTATCATTATCTGCATATTTATCTTTTCTTTTTTTCCTCTATGTAAACATCGATCAAGAGAATAACTTTATATATTCAATGCGGGGATATTTTTGAGACAAAAAAAAAACAAATAGCCAATAATACGGATCATGAGGGTGAGTGGGTGTGGGTGTCTATTCGTTATGCACAAATATGCTTACACTCATCCCCTAAAAGATAACTGTATATATACGAGCAACTTAGGGGTGAGTCAACGATACTTGGAAGAAGCCGTGATAAGAAGGGAAAATATTTGAACCGTATCAAGAAAAAAAATGGTTGAAAAATACCCTGATACGAAGAAAAGGAAGTGACTCACATTTTAATACATATCGATTTCTATGTTAACCATTTAATTTAATGTGCTGATTTTTAAACATATTGATAAACCTAATTATTTTAATAACTGACCACTTAAATTATATGTAACTTTCATATCTCAAAAAAAGAAAAGGAGGTTTCGAGTTCTTAACATATACACAACAAGTTTTTTTGACATGAAATACTCGACTTTTGAATTGTCCTAACCTTAATTAAAAAAAACTAAAATTAGATTTCATTCTCTAAGATATCGCATTAAAAAAGTATTTATACGCACGAAAGCAACGTTTATCACGAGTCATACTAATGAACACTATATAAATGTACCGAGAGTACATTATTTGTTTCTAATAATAAAATTGTCCATTTTCCAGCAGATTTTAATTGTCATTATTACATTTTACACTTGATTTTAGTTTATTTCATATAGGATTCATTCGTTTCTTGATTTTTATTATTATTAAGATTATCAAAGTACACGTGAATGAAATAGATCATTAGTACAATTTATAATAGCATATTATTTTTTTTTCTATTTAAAAAATCTAACATAAGCTGGATATATGACAGAAAAGAAAAGATTTAGTATATCATTATCGTAAAAAAGTGAATCATTGAAAGTCGCAAAATATTCATGGCTACTCAATCAATTTTTCAATATATTTGTCAACAGGTGGTTATTTATGTAGGTCTATTTCTCTTTATAGCTGGTCTTATAAGTGGACTATTAACTCTACTTGTATTTCTTAGTCTTCGAACTTTTCGACAAAAATCATGTGCATTCTATTTAACTATTATGTCATTAGTTAATACTTTTCATTTATTTACTGGTTTATTTACTTATATTATGATTAATGGTTTTGGAATTAATTGGTTAAATATGTCATTATTTTATTGTAAATTTCGTCCATTTTATGTACAATTATGTACATTAATTTCTTTTTCATGTATGTGTTTGGCAACTATTGATCAATTTTTCGCTACTTGTTCTTATATTCGTTGGCAACGATTATCTAATATTAAATTAGCTCGTTACCTGTTGATAGTCGTCGCTCTAGCTGCTATATTACATGGAATTCCAAGTATATTCTCTTATGGTCATATTTCATCACCAACAACCAGTGAAAACAATTGTATAATTATGAATACTGCTTTTCGAAAATATTATTATTATTTCTATGTACCTGTTCTACAAAGTACTTTACCTATTAGTATTATGATTTTATTTGGAATTTTGGCATATAGAAATGTTCAACAAATAGCTTTTCGAACAATTCCATTAGTTCGACGAGAATTGGACAAACAATTAACTACTATGGTCCTTGTACAAATCTTTTATGATGCTATTGTTGTTACACCATCAGTTTTTATTAATATAATTATGACTATTTATGGCTCTACAAGTAATTCGTTATTAGCAGCACAACTAAACTCTATTAGTGTATTAGGTATAATCTTATATTACTTTCATTATGCGGTAAATTACTAATCTTATTGGAATATATTTATGCAAAAAAAACTACTAATTTCTTTTGTATTTATAGGGTTCATTTTATATTTATGTTAGTGTATCAAAACGATTTCGTCAACAATTTCTCTATGTTTTATCTACAATTCATGTTACACAATGTTGCCGTCTAACAATAAATAATAATCAAATACAAACAGAAACATCATGATTTTAAATATTGTTTTTTATTTATTGTATTGTAATGTGTCATACTTTATGTGAATGATATAAATGATGTATAATCTAATATAAAGTTCAATAAACATAATCATCTAAATAATTTACAAAGTGCTTATAAAATTACTTTCAATCGTGTAGTAATAATAACGCCATCTATCATCAATGATTTTCTATGGATGTCATATATTTATGATTGATTTTGTTATTGGTTCAATGAACTTATTCATCAAAAATTTTAAATAAAAAATCATTTTACTTCCTTACATTTATGCTATCTTATAGTATTATAATTATTAATAATACCTATTAGGAAATACAGGAAAAAAGTTTTTACAATTTTCAAGTAACAGGAAAAAACACAATATTTATGAATTATTTAAATACAATTTATTAATCGAAAATATACTGTAAGTTTTTGATAATAATTTTTTTATTAACTAAAAGGAATTTATTAATATTTAGATGAATGATAATGTCCGATAATCAACTGTTGGAGTTTTGTATAATTCGGTAAGACGATAAAGTATTTTTTTTGTTATATATTATAAAACTTTATGAGTATAAGATGAGCAGAAATCGCACATATATATAGTACTATTACCTAGTTTCTATTCTGATACGTAATGATACATTGTCATGATAAAAAGATGCGTTGGATGATGCTATAAATATACCATATGATTTATCTTTATACATGTGTTAATGTCTATTTTCATCATTGAAAGGAAGAAAAGTACAAACCGACTGTTGAATGACAAACAATATGAAAATATATACTGACGATGACGATTTTTATTATTATTATACATCCGTTAAAAGTTTTTTTTTTGTTTTTTTATTTCTCTATTATTATTATTCAGACGATTTCGCTACTTTTGTCTAAGTTCTATGTACTTATACGACACACTTATATATCCATTTCCGTTGTATTAAATAAAAAAAACAGCTATTTATGGTAGTTTAGTTACACTTGTTTATCTATGTGCATTAAAACGTCGAATATCATTTTGTACTAAACCATTTTTACGTAAAATTCTTGAACCATGTAATGATGAATGACTTTGATAATATAATAATCGTTTTTGTTGATCACGTGAATATAAACAATGACATTTAAGTAATGCAATAAATTTTAAACGAAAATTTCGATTGAACATTGTATAAACAACTGGATTAATTGATGCTGACACATAACCAAGCCAAACAAAACTATTTAATAAATTTTCATTAATTGAACAATGTTTACAAACACCACGTAAAATATTCATAATACAAAATGGAAACCATGCGATTACAAATATAACAAAAACAACACCAAGAACTTTGACAGCTTTTTGTTCATTACGTACAGCTGAAGATTTTGAACGTGTTGTTCCTAAACTTGGAATAAGAACTAAACGATCTTTATGTCGTTTTACTTGATTAATTGAAGTTAATGATGGATGATGAGAAATCATTGGTACTGATAATGACATTGGACGAGCTTGATGAGATGAAGTTAAATGAAGATTTGTTGTTTCATCATCTTCAAGACAATTTGAATTTCGTGGACATGTATAATCACTATGAATAGATGATTTATCATTTTGAAGATCATTTGCTAATGATGGATATTTATCTTTATCTAAACATATATTATTGAAACTATCTTCACTTAAATCAAAACTTGTTTCTTGTCGTTGAAAACGTCTACGTTTTAATTCTATTGATGGAATTGTTAATGATTGAAATGAAATATTTAATTGATTATTACTTGTTGTTGCTGCTGTTTTTTGTCGTAAAAATGGTTTAGCAACAAGATTAACTGTATTCGTTATTTGTTCTTGAGCAAAATGTGTTTGACATTGTTTTATTTGTTTTTTTAAACGACGTACAGTTAAAGTATACATAATAATAACAATAATCAATGGAATAACAAATGAAACAACACTACCATATATAACAAAAAATTGATTATTGATTAAACATTGTCCATTAATTATAATATTATATGGATTAATTGCACCAAGTATAATCATTGGTGATGATAATAATATAGCTATTAACCATATAACTATTATACAAAAGCATATTTGATATTTTTTTTGTCGTAAACGAACATTTAGTGGATCTTCTATTGCTAAATAACGATCAATTGATATAACAACAATATGCATGATAGATGATGTACATGAACAAACATCCAAAAATAACCAAAAATCGCATAAAATTGGACCAAATATCCAAAAACCTAAATCAATCAATTTTGTTTTTTTTTTATTAGTTAATAATAGAATAGATTTGTTGTTTTTACCTGTAAATTCTTTAACAGTAGCTAATGGAATAACAATTCCTGAAATCAACATATCAGCAAGTGCTAATGAAAAAATATACCAATTCGTTGGATTATGTAAACGTCGTTCTGTTCCAATCGCAAGACAAACTAATAAATTTCCAATAATACCAATAATTGAAAAAAATAATAAAAATAATGCTGGCCAGTAATATGATCTAACTAATTTTTGATTGGAATTTACTGGAATAATTAACCAATTATCATCAAACGAATCATTTGCTTTCATTGAAGGTCATTAGAAATATAAAATTGTTTATATTTATATATATATATATATCTATCTATCTTTTTATTCCTGTTTATGTAGCAGTAAAAAGAATAATCTATCGTCAAAATTTCTAAATAGAGAAAAAGAGATATAGAGATAAAGAAAAAAAAAATCTTTTGTCTTTGTTAGATTTTTTTTCAGTAATCATCTAGTCTAATAAAAATTCATATAGAAAAAAAAACTCTTTACTTAAGTGCTCAGTTATTTCTTTTCTCTTCATAAAAAACATCACTATAGTCCAAAAGCTAAATGAATATACATGGCTGTCATTTTTCTTTCGATATATTCCGATGATAATAATAAACAAGAAGAAAAAAATAATAGCAACAGTTGAAATATATATCCTCGATATATATATATATATTTATTTAGACAAGATAAGACTTATGAATATATTGTCATACTATTGAAGTTAGTATATAAACGAAATAAAATATAAAAAAGATTAACATCATTGACAAACGTTTGTTTAGATATTAAAAAAAGAAGAAAAGTCTTATCTATTTATATAATTTCTGAATCGATGACAATTTACGTAGCAGCGATGAAAGAAAAAAAGAAAGTAAGCAGTAGTTTTATAGGGAAATATTTATGACGCACATTACTTTGTTATTATATCACAACAGTTAGAATGTTTTGAGATACTTGTTTTGTATTTAGAATACTATACCAATATCCTTCATTAATTATTTTATCAGCTGTATCATATAATCCATACATATATAATATGATGAAGTACAATAATCTCGTTGGGGTTTAATTTATGCTATTACAGGCAATGGAGTATGAAGATTTTATATATTTATTTATTTTTCTAAATATATATATATATATATATATAATAGGAACGTAGTTCTATACTCAAATGAATAGTTAAATCATTCCATAAATTATGTTCAATAGTAGGGTGTTTTAATTGCATCCGTACTTATTTGTATTCCACATATATAAACTACTTATCGAAAGGTTTGTCTTGTTGTTAATAGGTTTACTTTTAATAGAAACTCGATTTATTTAGATAAAAATATCTCATAAACAATATATAAGAATAGTTAATGATAAATGTTATGATAAAATTTTCATATTATTCCAACTAATGAATTCTTAACACTACTTTACAGTTTTCAAATCAATTTTCTTGTTTTTAATTCGCTTATAATATTGATTTTTATCACGATTTTTCCACCGGAAAAATTCCAGCATTTTCTAGATACTAGATCCATATTATATGTCCAATGTACTAGTATCTATATAGAGTTATCTATCAATATTACTTAATAAAAAGGAAGAAAAAAAAATCTGTGATGAAAATACATATAATTAAATATTTTCTCTTTTTTTTTTAGCGATACAAATATTCAATCAAAAATATCAAATGAGTATATTTTATAGATAGTATTATTTGAAAAGATTTATTTTTATTGAATAATATTTTTCACATTGACAAAAACAAGAAAATAGAGTATAGAAAAAAAAGAATGCCTGAATGATTTTCTTTGTATTGGTATAATCAATCAAGTGAAACCGAAAATATAGATATTTTTTTCTAATGGATTTTAGATTTATTATTTCTTCTTGTAAACAATCAAATTAATGGATACAACGACAATCAATTTAGAAGATTTTACTTGTAGTATTTGTAAGTAATTTAATTAAAATATTTGACTTCAATTTATTATAAATTTATTTTTAGGTCGTGAAATATTTCATTCACCTGTTAGTCTATCGTGTCCACATACATATTGTCAAAGTTGTGTACTTGGTCTTAAAAAACCTATTACTTTAACATCAGAATCTGAATCAATACCAACGTCTTCCTTGCGAATTGATAGTTTTAGTCATTCATCACATGTCCATCAACCAAATCAATGTTTTGTTTGTGCGATTTGTCGAAAAGAATCATTGGGTTATGTACGTTATCGTGAATTAGAAAATCAATTAGATACATTTGAAACATCATGTCCAAATTGTTCAATAGTATTTACTTTATCGGCATTAAGAAAACATTTAGAAATATGTATACCTATGAGAAGTAATTATACACGACATAATACAGATTCAAGATCTACAAATCTAGTTGAACGTTTATCTGAATCACAAACTAAAGCTTTACAAAAAGCACAACAAGGTGAAAATCGCTCAACATTTCAATGTCCATTTTGTCCACGAGCAAAGTAAAAATTCTAATATTTAATTTAAAAAAAAAATTCATTTTTGGAATCTAGTTTTACTCTTAATCATCTTCGTCAACATATTAAAAAACGTCATAAAAATGAAGATCAACGTCGAGTCTGGTAAATTTTAATTTATTTTAAAATTTAAATTTCATTTATTTATGTATAGTCCAATCTGCTCAACACTGCCATGGGGTGATAAAAATATGATATCATCTAATATCTATCAACATATTAAAAGTCGTCATAGATTTGATTATGGTAATTCGAAAGAAAAAAGTTTTTTTTAAAAAATAAATTTTTATTTTTTTAGATACATATGTGAATTATGAACAAGATGAAGAAACGATGATGCGTGAGGCGTTACAAGCTTCTCTTTTACACCAATAAGACGCTATTTTGTTTGTTTGTTCTTTTTTATATCTATAGATAATAAGCTCACCGTGATATTTACTTGTTCTTGTTTTCTTTTTTTGTATTTATTCGAATGTATTAACTTACGTATTCTAATCATGATGGTATTATGAAAGCATATATAAAACTTTAATATATGTTCAAAAAATAAAATGAAATGCACTATGTTGATTAATTAATGAGATCTTTTGTATAAAGAAAATTACAATATTTTTTTTAATAATAATAATCAATAACTACTGGTTCACCAAGAGTTTTTCCTTGATGAATCGCAAGATTAACAAATAGAATATCATTTGATTGTGGTTGGAAATGATCACCTTCAAGGACTTGATTATTTTCACTTTTATACAAACTAGCACCTCGACATTTATGCATATGTCCAAAAAGATGAATACGTGGTCGAACTCTTGTTACAACTTCATCTAATAAACCGGGATCACCTATTCGTTCGTCTGTAAGTGGATGATAGTCACGAACACTATAAGGTGGTCCATGTGTAAGTAAAATATCGATGTCAGCGGGAATATTCGACCATTTTTCTTCTCGTATACGTGTCGGATCATAACCAAATGCTTCAGCTGGATAAATAATTCCACGTTTTGGTCTCCATGGACTACCATAAATCTGTACACCTTCAATATCAGTCATTGAATCTTGTAAATAAATCATATTGCTAAGTATTTTTTGACTTTGTTCAGGTCGTTTTGGATCAAGACAAACACAATGATTACCACCAATAAAGAGTTTGTGTCTATGTGGAAGTGCACCAACAAATTCATTGTATACTAATATATCACGAGCAGCACTTGACCAACGAACAGCATCACCACAATGTACAAAAACATCACCATTTGGAATTTTAATTTTATGAATTTGATTATGTGTATCAGAAATACAAACAAAACGTAAACGTTTCAAATTGTCTTTTCCAATTAATTCTGGATCACGATAAATAGTAAATGGATCATCTTCAGTTCCAGTACCATAATGACGTGTTGGACTGAATGGGAGAACTTGTTCATCAACTTCATTAGGTGGAAAATGTGTTAAATGATGAAGAGCAGCTGCTGGATGGCCTCGAACACGTTGTACATGACATCTACGTAAACTATATCAAATTTGATGAGAATAATCACAGATAAAAACCTTACCAACAACACCAGAGATATGTTGATGCTTTGAACATTTTCAAAATGATAAATTTTGTTTTTTTGCTAATATTTAAAAATAATACACAATAATGAATGTTCAAAAAAAACTATACATATCATAAAGTATCATGAAAAAGAAAATGATTACTTTTTCTTCAATTAAAGGGAGTAAACCTTGTTTTCTTTTTCAATGACGTCTATGTACATGTCGTATTCAATGAAACAAATGTTAAATAATATGGCTTGCATTTCTATGGACACCTATTCAACCAATTAGAATAATTTATTATAAAAATAAAATATAGAATATTGTAATGAGCACTTTGTTAAAAAAGAAAATAAATATTTTGTATACCTTTAAGTTATAAGATAAATATAATGAATATTTATATTAAAAAAAAATAAAGTATATTATATTATTCACTGCTGGAATGAAGATTTTATTTAAAAAAATTTATCTTAAAAATAAAAAAAATTAATAATAATAGTCAATTACGACTGCTTCGTTAAGTTTTCTGCCTTGATGAATAGCAAGATTAACAAATAGAATATCATTTGATTCGGATTTAAATTTATCACCTTCAATTTTTTGATTATTTTCACTTTTATATAAACTAGCACCATAGAACTTATGCATATGTCCAAAAAGATGAATGCGTGGTCGAACTCTTGTTACAACTTCATCTAATAAACCTGGACAACCTGAATAAGAATCTCGAATACTATACGGTGGTACATGTGTAAGTAAAATATCAATATCAGTGGGAATATTTGACCATTTATCACCACGAATATCTTGTGAATCATAACTAAATGCTTCTGCTCGATAAAAACAACCACGTTTTGGTTTCCATGGACTACCATAAATGCGTACACCTTCAATATCAATGACTTGATCTTGTAAATAGATCATATTGCTCAATAATTTTTGACTTCGATCTGGTCGTTTAGAATCAAGACAAACACAATGATTACCACTAATAAAAAGTTTACGTCTATGGGGAAGTGTACCAACAAATTCATTGAATACCCTTAAATCATTGGAACATGTATTATAATTAACAGCATCACCGCAATGAATAAATACATCACCATTTGGTATATGAATTTTATGAATATCATTATGAGTATCTGATACACATACAAGACGTAAATGTTTCAAATTTTCTTTTCCAATTAATTGTCGATCACGATAAACAATAAATGGATTATCTTC